ATTTTGGCAAAGTAAAAATGCATTGTAAAATCAAACCGTGGAGCTACTTTGTAACAGATTAATCCCAAACCCAATCTTATCCATACCCATCTGTTGTATATTGCAAATGTACCATTAGAGATTCTGAAATCTAAACTACAAAAAGGCAAGTTCACAAATTCAACACGCATGGAATCAAGTAATAATTCATTTGAAAAAGGCATAGCAAAACAAAGATAATTCATTTGGATTAGCATGTTCTACACAGCCTAGGATGTCCATGGTGTATATGGGTGTCAACCAATAAAATAAAAAACAAACAGAATCACAACACAAGCTAGGAAATCAGTACACTTTCAAAAGTGAATTTTCATGTTTGAGTTGAAGAATAGAAGTTCGAGTGACCAAAAATCTTGAAAGCTACAGCTTTCATCCAGATATTGGATCAAGAGTTTTAGTTGATAAACCTCTCATAAGTGTTTCCTACAACATACTATGGATGCATGACTCACTATAAGAAATAAGTTGGGAAAATCTCCTACATACAGAAAAATTTCAGCTATCATCTATTAAGTGATTAAATTCAACAAGTCATACCTGGTCCTTAGGCTTGTAGAAATTGTGGATATCAGTATAGGTTAGAATGGTCTCCACTCTATCTAATGATGCTTGCAACTTTCCCGAGTTCATGTTGAACCATGGTTCACCAGTGCCCAGAGCCCTAATTAATTCAAGGTTTCATCCATGAACCATAATTAATCAATCAAAGAAATAGTTAAAACAGAAAGAAGAACCAAACTGCATGTAGTTAAAATGCAAGAAGTTATATATTAACTAAGAAAAAACAGTAAAACCTTCACAGAAAAAGAAAAATACTGATATATTGAAAACTCACTACATTAATGTAGTGAGTACTTTGATTTGATAAACTGACTCTCTCTAGTAGTGAGTACTTTGAAATTGAGTATTGTAAGGCAGCAAAATCTCTACATTCTTAAATGCATACAAGACTAAGGAACTTGCCCAGTAACTTCTGGAAGTACATAATCAGCCCTCCACCCAAAGCGCATATCCACACCAGGGCACACACCAAGAGATGTCTTATTCCGGATCCGAGATATACCATCTCCACCAAAACATGTAGTAAGTTTCCATTTCCATCCAGTAGCATTCATTTGAAAATTATGGCCTACTCCAACCTGCTTTATCCAACAGTTTGCAGAGTGATTATTATGATACAAGTAAGGTTGGTATATGCGAAGCAAAGTGTGCTTGAGGTGGTGCAAAGGATTCATAATATGCTTTGGTGGTGTATGAAAGTTGGATGAGGCGTTGAATAAAGGATCAGATTGAAAGCATCAAACCTGGAGATTCAAATATCCAGTTAGAGGAATCTTTTTCGAAAGAATACGAACATCCTGATGGATAGGCTCATAGATGAACTTCCACATCCGTTCAGGAGCTAAGGGCTTCAAGACAAGCTTTCCTTGAAACTCATTGCATGGAGCATTATAGAACTGAACCAAAATAATGATCTCAATGAATCAGTTTTCAGAAGCACGCAATATGAGTTAATAGTTCTATCTAAGTTTCTATGCATAGCAGCTTATATTTAAAAAATTTTAAAAAAAAAAAAAGTATACACAATTACTGCAGGACATTTTTATTGGTAAATGGAAGTTTTAAGATTTTATAAAGTATGTTGAAGTTACTCAGTGTGAAGCACATAGAAATCCAGTATTTAAACATCAGGAGAAAAAGAGAAGAAAAGAAAAGAAGAACCTACAAACTAGGACACAAAAACCAATCCACAAGCAACAAAAAGACACAATCATACTATCTAGTTATAAGATTTTTCTTTTGTCGTATCATGACACTTCAAAATGTGTATCCGGGATGCGTATCCCAACATATGCATCAAACACCAGAATTGTATAAAAGGCACCAGAAAGGTAGCCTGTGTTTACACAGTTTTACTATCCTACACCACAATTGTCTTCCACCTGACCCTGTGTTCTGTTGCCCTGTTGAATAGCATCATTCTCAGGGGTTGTTTAAAGTTCGAAAATTCAAAACATACACATCATAAAAAATAAAACTTTCTCCAAACCAAACTTTATTCAAACACCGGTCTTCACAAAAACAGGACATCTGGTGGCCAGCATGGAGTAACCCATCAAAGTAAATACTCATATAAACATAGCAAACAGAGAATTGAGCATTGGCTTATCCAAAATTTCAAACCATTTGAACTGGGCACATAATATAACCATTAAAAACCGTGAAGAAAATATAATATATGTATATACCTCCAAATTGAGGCCGACCCTTAAACCTTGCACTTCTTTCCGGAACTTGAGAAACAACTCTGATGGTATCAAATTAATACTGTAAAGCTCTTCCCAGGAAGTGGGTTCTTCACCATTCGAACCCCAGTCCATTTTTTTATAAATTAAGAACTGTAAACTGTACGGACGATGCTTTGGAATGGTCGCTCTCTGCTTCTGAACCGAGATGGAGTTAAGAGTGGAGAGGGAGAGTCGGGAGAGGTTTGATGAAATGTAAACTGAATTTACAGATATACCATTGAACATTTGGAAAATATCGGGCATGTCCACTTAATAATAGTAGAGGCTGTGGAGCCAATGCCAAACCCATTGGCCATGGTCCAAATTGTCAAAATAAGATGTTGGTTCATTTGCGTTGACGTTGGCCCACCAAGACTTCTACAATCTTCTGGCCCACCATTATCTCAACAATTCTCAATCTACAAAGAACTGATTTCAAGTTTGTTTGTTAAAAAGAAAAAAAAAAAGTTTCTAATGATTTCAAGTTAAAACCTTTTGGTAGTTTATGTTTTTTTTCGGGGTTCATACACAAACGAATTGTCCAAAACTCTTCCTTTTATTTGGTTATGACATTGTCGTTAAAGTAAACTTGAAGACACATGTTTCTTGGACCTTTGACAAGAGTTGGATTGGATATCGTAGCTTATATGACTCAAATATAGCATTTCTACCAATAAGATTGAGATAACGTACGTGTACAACTCTCCCCCTTTGTTGGGTATAAATTTTGTGCTCAAGTTTCCTAACAAAATAGGTTGTCAAGATGTTAGTTATATAGTTTGTAGAACTTCAAAACTAGAAGATTATTACGTGAGAGGAGACATCGGTGTGTTGTCTTTCATGAACTCATCTTTTGCCCTACTAAGCAAGTGTCGGACCCATGTGTAAACCTTTGCTTTCTTACGACCCTTTGAACACACACGACTACATAGCACCTTTTTTTTTTTTTTTTTTATTGACCTCATCCAATTGCTTAAATGCATTTATTCTCGTGTGCTATGAACTAGACATGTAACATGATCCGATCACAAAATTGATTTGCATTCCCAAAATAATGATGCCTATAATTTGTTAAAAGTAACAAGTTCTTTATATCCTAAATTTGTCTATGGTAGATGATTTGTTGATACAATGACATGGTAGTCAAATTTTTCATATATAAAGGCAACTTCTAGATTCACTCCATGCCAAAGTTGTAAGTAATCAAAAGATATATACTTTGTTACTATCTTGAATGGGATCATTTTTTGTGTTATCCCAATGATCAAATGTGACCTTCCATTCAAAATATGCACAAAGAATGTACAAATCTTAAAACATAACTCGTCATATGGGCACAACTTCTGCTTAAGAGGCAAGCAGGTAAACTTTCATTTATTTTAGCACAAGTTCACCATACAAAATTTACCCCTCTAAACAACTATGGCCCAAAAGGGGAAATTGGTTGCCACGGCATTTGTGGAAGCAATGACCTTGCGCGTTTTGGCACAAATCTTCTGACCCACACATGCTTTCCATTGATTGTAAATTTGGCCTTGCTCACCCCACTGAGTATGGCTTCAATGGTTGATGCAGAGTGGAAAACCACACGAGCAAACAGAGATTGTTCAAAAGGCTGCACTTCTTGCATCTGCAGAGACTCAACGCAATCCCCAAATGCTGCGGTGAAAAATTGCTTCACTTCATGCTCATGTACTGGGTACCCTTTTGAGAATGTCACAAACATGGTCCTCTCGTTTGGTGGCACCAGAATTTGGGGCAAAGCTTGTAGCTGTTGTTGTTGAATTGAAGATGAAGATGAAGATGAAGAAGATGATGATGATAAAATCACCTGGCTGTGATCTGCTGAGTTTTGGGACAAATTTATCTCAATGGCTTGCTTCATAATGTCATCAAATGCTGGGAGGCACACAATGTTGGCAGCTTTGGTGACACCTTGAGCTGCAGCTTGCTGATTTTCATGGAAAAATTGGAGGGACACTTCTTTTTCCATGAAGCTTTGGAGGAGAGGAATGTCATTGGCCTCAAATGGTAAAGGAAAATGGGTGCCATTGATTATGTTGAGGCATGTCACTGCCTCATCTGCAAGCTCATTGATCAAAATGAAAGGTAAAGATAGGATCTTTTTCACAGCATTCTTGAACCCAACTTTCTCCAACCAGAGCCAGAGGGCCATGACCTGCATGGACTCCAGTGGGTCCCTGCAAAGGTGAATTACCAAGATGGTGTACAAATCTCTGTCAATGGAATGAAACAGTTTGAAACCCTCTTGTGACACAAACTGAGAAGAAGTATAAGAATCCATTTTGTGCTTCCTTCCTCCACCAAAATGTGCTAAGACCCTGCTATCTTTTTGGTAACATCAACACAGATTCCAAAATCAGTTGAAGAAAAAGAAGAAGAAAGAAAAAAGACAAGATTTTGATCACAAAAATCAATGTGGGTTAAGTTCAGAAACAAACCTGGAAGCTTTTTTCTTACGCTGGGCTGGTTTTCTCACAATGAATGAAGCCTGGTTCTATGCAACCAGGTTTTGTATGACCAAGGTCAAGAGAGCACCTGACAGCAGCACCAAAATATGAGTTCAGAGATTGGTCCCGAGTTGATTTAAAGGCACTGCTGTCATAATGCAGTTCTTATCAATTTTCTTGTCTGTTTTTAGAGGTTTTTGTTGTTTTAGACATCACTTTTAAGCAAGAAATCATATATGGCAAGACAAAAGTTCATGTGCTTACAAAAAAATTTATGGCATATTTGCCTGGTGTCATTAAATTTCTTCCCGGTTCTGAGAAATTTTGTATTTTGGCCCTGTGAAGATTTTACAAATGCCTGAAGGTCTGTGGGTACCTTAACACTTTGTTTCTTAGTGGGCTATCTGCTAAAAACTGCAGCTTTTTTGTTTTTCCGTAAAACGGCACTGCATGCAACTAATTCTAAGACTTTGCAACCCTTCTTTCTCATGCATTTTCTGTTTCTTCCTGCAGCTGAATTAATTAAGCTGTTAGAAGATTCTTCTTTCTTTTAAATTGAAATAGTTGTAGTTTGAATGCGTGTTTAAAGACCAAAATCCTAAAACACTGATTTGAAATCTTTGGTGGTTCTGAAGAAAGACTTGTATTGACTTCTTTACTACATTGCTCTCAATGAATTGGTAGTGATGAGCATTACTTGATCAACTAAATTGGGTTTCTGTATCAGGAAAATAACAGAATGACATAATTTTTTGTAAATGAATGTACATCTTCAATATGAACTTTCCTAGAGATGATACTTGCAAATGCTTTTCAAAAATTAACATCATTCTGTAGTTTAAATGATGCACTTGGAGTTTTAATGGCTTTCATATAATTATATGAGCGGGTGCATTTTTAATTATGTCAATATATTTGTCTGTCTAGTAAAAGAAGTCGAACATTCCCAAATTTGGAACAAGAAACATAAATTTGATACTAGTAAGATACAAATGACGCAGTGCAGTCATCAACATAACAACTAAATCCTATATGTGGGAAATATTACAGCTCTGATTAGATCTTCAAGATGCCCGGACATGGTATGCAGATGCTGCAAGAACAGGGGAAAAACCCATGAGACTGAAAATTCAACACCACCAACATTCTTCCGGAATCGTGAAAACGAAACGTAAACCTGAACTGTCAATGTAGATTCTTGACACTTCAAATTTCCAAGCCAGTTATGTTAGGCGTTGCTGCAGCGACACACTGTAGATCAGACAGAGAGAACGACCGCCAAGGAGAGTTCCGTCGAAGAGGAGGTGGGGATGATCCATTACCAGGAGATCTTTTACTGTCCGGATGTAGAGGTGGATGCAGAGGTGGAAGACAGGAAGTAGGAGGTGGTGAAATTGAGCTGCTCAAGTTCTCCCCAAGAAGAAATGAACCTTGACTACAGTTAGCAGTTGGTCTCTTTACTGCACCATTATTCTTCAAAGGGTTATTGCAATTCCTATCATTACTATGGGCTAATAAATTCTTGCGCTTCTTCATAAAACGATTTTTTGGCTTTGCAAGGTCCTTAACAGAAGAAACAGACGAGACATCTTCCAGGCTTGTGAAGGACTTTGATTTGCCACTATAAAACATAGATATGCCTCTCCTGAAATGAGACACAGGACAGCACAAGTATATTAGAAATCATATGCGTGAAAAGATAAGATAGTACAGTATTGTCCAATCATACTTGTAAATATGTTTCTCGAGAATGCAGTTATATGATGATCTTAAAGAGATTCATCTAAATCATGTGGAAATGATCTCCTACAATAATGGCTAAATATTTGTCACAAAGACGAATTATCATTCATGCATGACACAAACCAAAGAACAATTAACAAAAACTTGCACAAAGCATGGAAGAAGTGTGGAGTGCCTTCCTTTTCAGGCTTTTTGAGAAATTCTTTTAACCATTGAGCATTTTCTTGAACAATGAAACCCCCTCATTTTTAGTTTAAAGCTCCCAATTAGAGAAGTTCAAAACTTGAACTAATCAAATTATTAGTACAGACTGACTGTCAAGAACTCATCTTCCCTCTTCCGCCAAAAAGACGGATATAATATACAGATAGATTGAACATTAATTCAGGCTTCTATGTCAACAAACTTCAAGAAATCAAAAAAAACACGACAAAAAGAGTAAAAGAACTATACTATCTAAGGTTACATATTGCCTCCATACTAGGACTCCCTCAAAGTTTTTCTATATGCTCTGTTTGGTTGCTGAGAAGACTAGACAAGGTAGAAAAACTAAATTCTAACATTTTTCATCATTGGAGGATAGTAAAGACCAAAAGCAAGAAAACATTGAAGTGACAACAAAGAAAGTTACAAACAAAAAATCCAATGAAAATTAGACAGAAACAACAACGTGCCTTGATTGAATTCCCTTTCCAATTTTCAAAACGCAAACAAGAAGAGCATCTCCACAAGGCTCAAACATTTAATATTCTTCTCACTTCTTCTAGCTTCACGAAAACCATACAGAACATACAAACAAATCCAAATTTATGAAAAACTTGTGAGCTAAGCTTCAAACATAACTGCTTCTCTTTCTCTCTTGTTTCCAAATTTTCATTTCTGGGGGTTTCTGTATATTATTGAATAATTAGCAAAACAATAGATGCTAATAATACTCAAGCTCAAGTCTTTGTTCAATAAGAAACAGCAATATTCTCCAAAAACCAATCAAGCATCAAACTTCAACCAAAATTACGAAAATTCTCTAATTCAATAAAACTACAAAACCAACCAATTAAAATCCAAAGTAAATAAAAACCCAGCAAAGTAAAGGTGGCAAATAACACACTTGACAGGCAAAACCTCCTCAAGCTGGTCCATGGTGTCCAAAGGTCCTTTATACGAGCTCTGAATCTCAGCCTCACCAGAGTCGTCGCCCTCCGATGACCCATCAGACGAATCACTATTCCGACCAACTGAAGACGAACTACAAGAGTCCAAGTCCTGCTCCAAACGACGATGTTGAGCAAAGCCCTTGTTCTCCGACGAGTCGTACATCGAGGGACAAGGCATCCCGTGGATGAACCTCGGCCGTTGGATCATATTGCCACCACCACCATTTCTGTCTAAAGCAATAGACATGTGGGCTGGTTCAAAGTTGGAAGCTTGCATAGAAAAAAGAGTGGATTTGGATTGAAAGAAAACAGAGAGAAAAGAAACGACTGAGATGGGCTATTAATAGCTGGTGAAGAGCACATGGGGTAGCGATATTTTCTCCATTTTTCTCATATAAATATATACTCTTGTTTCTGAGAAAAGTCTATCTGAATTGAAATATGGATAAATTAAGCGAAGGGAAAGAAAAAAGGAGAGAATAAATGAGTGAGGCCAGGCCTTATCCTGATTTGAACCAGAGCTTAAAATATGGGAATATGGGGAACAGTAAACTCAGTTATCTGCTTATTATTTTATCCATTTTTTTAAAATCTTTTCTTTTGGGGTGTGGGGAGATTTTGTGTGTGGTCGGCTCATGGTATGAACTGTGGTGTTTTCATGCTGAACAAGGATCTGGTTGATTCTGTCTGTGTGTGAATGTGATGGGGATGGTGATGGCTGGCTCCACTGTGATTTTGATAATGATGAATATTTCTTTACACTTTGCTCTCATAGCAAGCGCCCAAAGTCCCCCATCCTAACCAAAAAGGAAAAAGATGATGGGGTCACACCTTTTTTTTGGGTTAATTTAATTTGCTTATCATGGATTCTAGCACATTGGTTGATTTATGCTTGCTTGCGGGTTTCACCAGAACATGGTTTCCAATAAAATCTACAATCTTTTAATAATTATATCTTTTTGGTAACCACAAAAATCTCTATTATGCCTTCTCATCGGGTACAAATTCTTAGGTATATAGTTGTGTAAATACTTATTCTTTGTATTTCTCTCATAATGTGACTTAGTGATGGTGTTTTGTTTGTGCACTATCATTTGTGTTCCTCTCCTCATGAGACAAGTCACATAATAAACAAGATAGAGAGATTCGAAAAGTAATTGTATATTTGTAAATCGCTTTTTTTTCTCGATCATATTAATCACTATAGTATATGGTATTATGTTATATACAAATAACACGTTTAATAATATAAGAGTGGTATATTCATAACACTTTTGAATTTTCATGAGGCGAGTTAAAATTTAAAATAAAGATCATGTATTGTAGAATTTCACATGCTATTTGTACCATATTTACTGACATCTTTTCTAATACAGACATATTGCACATTCTATAATTGAACTTGTACAAGCATAAAAGCATCTAAATTTACTTTGATACTCATAGTTTTCGACTAAATGCATCTATCTTTAACTTTAAGATTTTGTATTCGATGAAAGTAGGTCTTTCACTAAAAATGAAGTCAATGGTGTAATATTTTGTGCAACTTTTGTTGTTAGGCAAAGCAACATGCACTCAAAATGAAGTTAAAAACACAAAACATTAAAGTAATCGATGCATCCACCACACACAAAAAACAAAAAAAAACAAAAACAAAAAAGGTGACAATTTAGACATCGAATTTTCCAAAAACACATAGCAGGTGCTGATGAGGTGCATTTTTGCATGTCTCCATTGAATGAGGAGAAATTAGGGGACGAAAGAGATGATTTTTAAGAAGCCTTGTATTAAAGTGGGCCCCAAGCATATGGAAATCATGATCTTGTCTCTTTCTTTGACTTTCTGCCTTTGCCTTTGACTTTCTGCCTTCCCTTGCATCTTCTCCCTTTTCTTTCCAGTTTCTCACCCCATTTCGCTCAGATTTGGGTCCGGATTAT